CCAAGCACATCAGTGTAAGATGCCCTAGGATATTATATGGTATTCCACTTTGGTTTGCTTGAGGACTTAAGACATTAAAAACAGAAGCTGGAAAGTGTCATCAGCTGATGTAAAGTTTACAGCATGAACATGCATGTATTTCTTAAATATACGAGAGGAAACAGACAAATTAGCCCATCATTCCAGCTAGACTTTATTCCACACAAGGCCATCTAGATATGTTGTGGGAACCGCTAGTTTCCACAAAATCAAATGTGAACTTCATACCTGCTCTTGTTAGGCAGACCGAGTAATATGGCCAGCAAAGTCAGAGACAATGTAATTATAGCGTTTTGTGCTATCAATTATTTACCCAGCTTAAGTGTTTTAGTGTAGGGCAATGTTCCTGGGTACATGTGGTCTGTGAGTAGCTTGGACTGATCAATACTGGCCACCTGCAGACACAGGAAACTCTGACATTAAAGGTATAGCGTCTCCGTAGCACTCACGTCATTACCACATGGACCTTAGAGTCTGATACCCCATTAAGCATGCAACAAAATCTTCCCTGTCAAACATTCTACTGTTCCATTAATGAGCATGTCTGTTTAATCATTTCTTTACTACCTTACATCATAGCATGACGAAGAACAAACTCCACCGAGAGATCAAGAGTACTCAATCTCTGCTGTTACAGAAAGAAGCTCAACATCAATGATGGCTCAAGGCAAGATGTGGTATGTATACCAGTACAGTAAAATGGTTAAAGCCAGAACAATATTTACTCTTTTGTCAACATAACAAGTTAGTGATCTTTCCATCTGTATGAGATTCACATACTGGATATAATTCGCACAAGATCTAATAGATAAAGCATTGAACTTGGAGGAAACAACGCCTGTTTGCCTGGCATTTCCTTACAATATATACATGCTCAAATGCTCAAGTCTAAGTATTGCACTTATCCAACATGTTTTTCTTCCATAATTAAGATATGTCAACAGAAGCATACCATGCAGGTAAATAAGGAAGTTAGCAGGGAATGGAGTTGCTTAGCTGACACTTCTGAAATTTTGTTGGTTGATATCTACCCACATCTATGCAAATTGCTTTCAAACTGAAAGGCTTCACACAGGGAATACAGAGGCTTGTTGGGTCGGTTAAACTTTGTGGTAAAACAGATGAAGCTGCTTGAAATCTCCAACTCGGAATTATTCATACATGTATTACAATTTACTGAGAGCAATATATACCGCAAATGTTATGATGGAATTAAAATATCCATAAACCATTATCAGTTTACTGTAACATATGTCCATATATAGTTCAAAATTATTGAATACATAAAAGCATACAATAAAGGAAATATAGATGATTATGAAATACCTGAAAAACTTGAAACAAAACAATAAAACTGACTTCAACATGAATGGATGCGACATCAGTAAGTGATGATCTGATTAGCCCCATAGTTACAGTGTTCTCATGCCATGCTACAATTGTGTACATCGATGTTCATGCTGTTGATCCCTGGATTGTCTGGTCCAGATCCGACTATTTACAGACTGTCGCCATATAGCTGGAATATTGCTGGATGCGGCGTAAAACTCAACCCACTCACTCACATGCCTCAGTTAATACCATGTCATTACACTGAATACAATATAGATATTAATGTCATTACATGATTAACACTCAGTTTAATAAATTGACACTAGAATGCAAATCAAATAGTCTATGGGGTTATCTCTAACACTTAATAATTGTCTTGTATTTTTCACTGAATATTTACTCATTATGTATGTGTGACTACTCACTCATTAAGCACAAGAAGGACGACATCGGACCCTGGTATGTTAGCCAGGTGCAGCACGTACTAAGAATTTGTTGGTTGGGGTCTCCACTCAATGCTGATCAATGCTGGGATTTAGCTATCCTCTTTTGTTCAGTACAGTGCACACCACTTCTACTTGATTCTGTATTTTGGGGAATTTGTTTTTCAAGTTTCTTGTGCAGACAAAAATCTACTTTGTATCCCTTCTGCAAATTTAGATATCAATGAACATGCATTTTAGATACTTGTCAATAAGAATCTTAAATCTGAAATTGAATTAATCACTGGACACAATAATTTACACGGTGACTTAAATCATATCAAATGTTCTGCTGGTCATTGTTTTATATGCAGAGATTACTGTGAATGTTATTTCCTAAACTAGATTAATATAGCAATCAGTTGTGCAAATCTTTCCTCCAAATCTACAGGTGATCCTGTTAAAATAAACCCAATGAAACAAATTCAAGCAAATTTGATGCAATCATATGAATTTTTTTCTCAAATTATTATTTTTTTTTCCAGGAATAATACATTCCAATATTGTGTTATTTTAGTTGCAAACTTCAAAAACGATATTCAAAATAGTAATATGCATAGCTTTTGTGTATAGCTGATTGATGTGGCCGGATATTGTTCATGTATGGCACTATCTGACATGTCATCATCGGGGTTCCCACACTCCAGATCATGAACACTCTATGCTACCATGTTATAGTGAAACTTGCAACAAACAGTTTTCTTAACAAGTCTAACTATGGCATTTATTTCATGTCTCAGTGAAGCCCCGACTCAATACTGATCTCACACAGTCATATATCATCGGGATCTATCATGTCTCAGTGAAGCCCATACTCAGTACTGATCTCACACAGTCATATCTCATCGGGATCTGTCATGTCTCAGTACTCAATACTGATCTCACACAGTCATATCTCATTGGGATCCATCTAGTCTCAGTGAAGCCCCATCTCAAGGCTGATCTCACACAGTCATATATCATCGGGATCTATCTAGTCTCAGTGAAGCCCCATCTCAAGGCTGATCTCAAACAGTCATATCTCATTGGGATCCATCTAGTCTCAGTGAAGCCCCATCTCAAGGCTGATCTCACACAGTCATATCTCATCGGGATCTATCATGTCTCAGTGAAGCCCCTACTCAATACTGATCTCACACAAACATATCTCATCGGGATCTATCTAGTCTCTGTGAAGCCCCTACTCAATACTGATCTCACACAGTCATATATCATCGGGATCTATCTAGTCTCAGTGAAGCCCCGACTCAATACTGATCTCACACAGTCATATATCATTGGGATCTATCTAGTCTCAGTGAAGCCCCTACTCAATACTGATCTCACACAGTCATATCTCATCGGGATCTATCATGTCTCAGTGAAGCCCCGACTCAAGGCTGATCTCACACAAACATATCTCATCGGGATCTATCTAGTCTCAGTGAAGCCCCATCTCAAGGCTGATCTCACACAGTCATATATCATCGGGATCTATCATGTCTCAGTGAAGCCCCTACTCAATACTGATCTCACACAGTCATATCTCATCGGGATCTATCTAGCCTCAGTGAAGCCCCAAAGCCAGTGGTTTTACACAGACCAAAACACAATGTTCAGTACTGATCACAAATTACCTTATAAGAATAATGACCAGTTCATTCTTTGATTTTCTACGATCGATATGTCAGTGTAACATATGTTACACTTCACATGTTTACAATAAAGCACATATGTTATTACTTTTGGGGGTTTAGGCAGCAATCTAACCCATTCAGCCACCACGATTTGCACAGAAATGCTATATCATGAACTTTGTATAACCCTCTGACAAGCCAAAAGCTTTGAAGCACAAAACCTTTTACAAAGTGGTCAAATGTAACATATGCTATACTTGGGATTACACTAAAAAGGCATTTTAGTCTTTTGACCACTTCCTAAAAGGTATTGTGTAATGTTAGTGAATCCAAATTTGATGTCACAATGGCAGAGTTTCAGCAATGAGCAATCCAAAAAGTTATACATTCATTAAAAAAAGAAAAGAAAAAAGAACATTACAATGTATAAAACATCATTCAATACAAAACAAATTGGATACAAGAAGAACATACTAATCCTAATGTGTCACCTACAACATATCTGAGATTGATTTGGTTGAAATACACCTGTAATACGTGTACACTTGTATACTGTGTAGTGTCTGCTGCTGGCTGTCACCTGACGTGTCTGTGCCCATGACATGCCAACCTACGATGGCTGTCCCCTGACGTGTCTGTGCCCATGACATGCCAACCTACGATGGCTGTCACCTGACGTGTCTGTGCCCATGACATGCCAACCTACGATGGCTGTCACCTGACGTGTCTGTGCCCATGACATGCCAACCTACGATGGCTGTCACCTGACGTGTCTGTGCCCATGACATGCCAACCTACGATGGCTGTCACCTGACGTGTCTGTGCCCATGACATGCCAACCTACGATGGCTGTCACCTGATGTGTCTGTGCCCATGACATGCCAACCTATGATGGCTGTCACCTGACGTGTCTGTGCCCATGACATGCCAACCTACGATGGCTGTCACCTGACGTGTCTGTGCCCATGACATGCCAACCTACGATGGCTGTCACCTGACGTGTCTGTGCCCATGACATGCCAACCTACGATGGCTGTCACCTGACGTGTCTGTGCCCATGACATGCCAACCTACGATGGCTGTCACCTGACGTGTCTGTGCCCATGACATGCCAACCTATGATGGCTGTCAGAACAGTGAAGAAGCTACACAGTGAATAATTGATTAATAAGCTTGTCAGTGGCATCCAAATAACATAGAGATGAAGGGATCACACTGGACACGCATCAGAATGCCGCTCAGTCTTGGATTATATGTCATGTTTCTATTAGTAGTTACCAGTATTAACAAGGACTTAAGTACATCTATTCACCAGCCGTGAGTCCTTAATAACACCAACTTAACTAACTACAGTTTTCCAAAGATTTCTGTAGAGAGGAGTACTTATCAGATTACCAGGGCTAACTTGTTTCCTTGAAGCAGTATACCCAGACCCAGTGCCTGGACATGTGATGATGGCAACCTTGGTGCCTCCCAGGCTGAGAATACTAGAAATGATTTACATACCTTTACATGATCAAGAGTCACTTACCCAAGACTGACAGTTTCAGTGCGGAATAGTTGTGTAGGTTGATGGCATCTGTCATGGATGGGCTGGTGAGTGAGGCATAACAGTGTTTATGAGAGGAGGACATGTTGAGAGAAAATGTTGTATCCAGGTACTCCTTGATACTGTCCAGGCACTGCCTCCAGCCTCCTCCTCCACCTCCCTCTACAGCAGCAAGCACTGACTGACTGAAACACTAGCTGCCACACGAGGGAGGACGACAGTCACAGCAGTAGTAGTAGCAGTGGCGACTTGCTCTGATTAGTTCTCCAAGCACAGCCAATATTGATCCACAGATGATGACGTCGGATCATACGGAAAACCTTCCATTTTTAGTCCAGTGTTTCCATTTTCTCTTCACTTCAAATACCACCTGCAAATGCATTAACTAAAATAAATCATCTTGGCACTACAAATCCTTCTGTCTCCCATAAGCCATATAGGGATGTGAAATTTCACATGTGCATCTGTTTAGCCTGCATGAAACTTGCTTGATGAAAAGTCCCTGTAAATAGACAGGGGTGACATTTCAAAATTAAGAAAAAAGTGTTTGCGTTACTTTAAAGGTTATAATGAACTACCAGAAATACAAATATTTTCCAAATGCAATATATTTGACACTTCTTTTTATAAGACAAATGGAAATGTACTGTATAGAAGATAATAAATGATTACTGATGAAATACTAGACAAATGGAAATGTACTGTATAGAAGATAATAAATGTTACTGATGAAATACTAGACAAATGGAAATGTACTGTATAGAAGATCATAAATGATTACTGATGAAATACTAGACAAATGGAAATGTACTGTATAGAAGATCATAAATGATTACTGATGAAATACTAGACAAATGGAAATGCATATGATTAAAGAATATAATAATTTCTGGTGGCCTTAGAAAAGGAGGCTATAGTATTTAAAAAAAAATATATACTGAAATGTTAATGTTTTAATTGTCTTACAAGTTCATTATTCCCTAACTGTAAAATGAACAGCGCTGTGTACAAAATATGACTGTAGAAAAATGTTGTTAAATTGAGAGTTGAATCCTTGAAATCTTCTGGACAGATGGGAAACTTCTATACATTATTCAGATACCTGGGTTTATCTTTGTGTTTCAATTTGGGAATTAACTCACATCAACAAATACAGGATACAATTTCATATCATAAATGCTGATAAACATGTTTAAGTTATCAGTGTTCTACAGAGTATTTGAAGCCCAGAACATTTTACATTTAAACATTTTTAGCATCATTGCATAAATTAGCAGGGGTCTTGTACACTACAAAGACTGTGAGATCAAATAACCAGTCTTTTAATGACATGTTGCAAGTACTTTGATATCTTGAATAGGGTAGTGAAAGGTTCCAAACTAAGAGTTGCTGGGTAACTATTTTTATGGGAGTCACGAATTAACCGAATCCGTGGTATTGCGAAGTGTTATTGCGAGGGATGACTGTATTTGTGTTAGGATACACCTCAAAGGAATGGTAGACAGACAGTCAGACAGCTCACTCAGAGTATTTGTGCCTGGATATACTTCAAAGGAATGGCAGACAGACATGCAGCTCAGAGGATTTGTGCAAGGATATACCTCAAAGGAATGGCAGACAGACAGACAGCTCAGAGTGTTTGTGCTTGGATATACCTCAAAGGAATGGCAGACAGTCAGACAGCCAGCTCAGAGTATTTGTGCTTGGATATACTTCCATGGTATAGCAGACAGACAGCTCAGAGTATTTGTGCGTGGATATACCTCAAAGAATGGCAGACAGACAGACAGCTCAGAGTATTTGTGCTTGGATATACCTCAAAGGAATGGCAGACAGACAGACAGCTCAGAGTATTTGTGCTTGGATATACCTCAAAGGAATGGCAGACAGACAGACAGATAGCTCAGAGTATTTGTGCTTGGATATGCCTCAAAGGAATGGCAGACAGACAGACAGACAGCTCAGAGTATTTGTGCAAGGATATACCTCAAAGGAATGGCAGACAGACAGACAGACAGACAGACAGTCAGACAGCTAGCTCAGTATTTGTGCTTGGATATACCTCAAAGGAATGTCAGACAGACAGTCAGACAGCTAGCTCAGAGTATTTGTGCAAGGATATACCTCAAAGGAATGGCAGACAGACAGTTAGACACTGTTATATTATGATATTAACATAAAAATATGTACAAATCTGACCATGTTGACCGTACAAACCTAACCAGGAGTGGCAATGAGGATGTACACTGAAGGTGTGCAGTATCTTTGTGGGAAGCTTTTGTTTGGTCAGTTGCACCTGTCCCTAGCCAGGTCGTTAACAGCTCTGACAGTATCAGGTGTGCCACGAAGCCAACCATCAGCTACCGTCTAAGCAGGCCCTCCTCCCAGATGCTCACTATTGACATCAGAACATAAACTCTGAAATACGCTCACACACAAGGACATAAATATACTCATAAAACACTGGTATTGTTTGGCACTGAGTCAAAATTATACATCTAGCCAATTAAAAAAGTCAAGGAAGTTGATGACGTAGTAGATAATGTAATTAATTGAAAAAAAGACAGCATTAATCAATAGATGCCTATTTATAAAAGCTCTTTTAAGGATTTCATGGAAACAGTCCTATAACTTTGTACAGAATATGAAAAAGACAACACAAGAAGACCATGAAGTCGATTTCATTATCATCCTTCTTGGTGAAGCTATTTAATCATTGTCATTTCATCAATGGGAGAAACAAGTGATAAAATATGCCTTTTTAATTCCACATGAGACTACATTAAATCTCCTTTTGCATTGTAAATATCTTATAATAGTATTAAGAATAAACAAAATATTTCAATATCAGAATTTCAAAAAATGCCCCCAAAAATAAAATGAAGATTTATTGTCTGACATGTGCTCCATTGGAAATGCTAATGTTTCTGCTTTAAGCACCAACCTCCATTATTTCCTAGAATGGTGCAAGGGTGCTACCTCACTGAACACAGAAGGATGCTCCAGACAGATCTACATCTAATACATGGAGTCTCCATGTACAAACATACTATGATAGATGGACACTCCAGACAGATCTACATCTGAAACATGGAGTCTCCATATACATACCTACTATAATACCTGGACACTCCAGACATAGATCTACATCTGATACATGGAGTCTCCATATACATACCTGCAATGATAGATGGACACTCCAGACATAGATGTACATCTGATACATGGAGTCTCCATATACATACCTACTATGATAGATGGACACTCCAGACATAGATCTACATCTGATACATGGAGTCTCCATATACAAACCTACTATGATAGATGGATACTCCAGACATAGATGTACATCTGATACATGGAGTCTCCATATACATACCTACTATGATAGATGGACACTCCACACATAGATCTACATCTGATACATGGAGTCTCCATATACATACCTACTATGATAGATGGATGCTCCAGACAGATCTACATCTGATACAAGGAGTCACCATATACATACCTACTATGATAGATGGACGCTCCAGACATAGATGTACATCTGATACATGGAGTCTCCATATACAAACCTACTATGATAGATGTACACTCCAGACATAGATCTACATCTGATACATGGAGTCTCCATATACAAACCTACTATGATAGATGGACACTCCAGACAGATCTACATCTGATACATGGAGTCTCCATATACAAACCTACTATGATAGATGGACACTCCAGACAGATCTACATCTGATACATGGAGTCTCCATATACAAACATACTATGATAGATGGACACTCCAGACAGACCGACATCTGATACATGGAGTCTCTATATACATACCTACTATAATAGATGGACGCTCCAGACATAGATCTACATCTGATACATGGAGTCTCTATATACAAACCTTCTATGATAGATGGATAGTCCAGACATAGATGTACATCTGATACATGGAGTCTCCATATACTCCAGACAGACCTCTGATATGATAGATGGACACTCCAGACATAGATCTACATCTGATACATGGAGTCTCCATATACAAACATACTATGATAGATGGACACTCCAGACAGAGATCGTACATCTGATACATGGAGTCTCCATATACATACCTACTATGATAGATGGACACTCCAGACATAGATCTACATCTGATACATGGAGTCTCCATATACAAACCTACTATGATAGATGTACACTCCAGACATAGATGTACATCTGATACATGGAGTCTCCATATACATACCTATTATGGTAGATGGACACTCCAGATATAGATTTACATCTGATACATGGTGTCTCCATATACAAACCTACTATGATAGATGGACACTTCAGACAGAGATCTACATCTGATACATGGAGTCTCCATATACATACCTATTAGGGTAGATGGACGCTCGAGACATAGATCTACATCTGATACATGGAGTCTCCATATACATACCTACTATGATAGATGGACACTCGAGACAGATCTACATCTGATACATGGAGTCACCATATACATACCTACTATGATAGATGGACGCTGCAGACATAGATCTACATCTGATACATGGAGTCTCCATATACATACCTACTATGATAGATGGACACTCGAGAAAGATCTACATCTGATACATGGAGTCTCCATATACAAACCTACTATGATAGATGGACACTCGAGAAAGATCTACATCTGATACATGGAGTCTCCATATACAAACCTACTATGATAGATGGACACTCGAGACAGATCTACATCTGATACATGGAGTCACCATATACATACCTACTATGATAGATGGACGCTGCAGACATAGATGTACATCTGATACATGGAGTCTCCATATACATACCTATTATGGTAGATGGACACTCCAGACAGATCTACATCTGATACATGGAGACTCCATATACATACCTATTATGATAGATGGACACTCCAGACAGATCTACATCTGATACATGGAGTCTACATATACATACCTACTATGATAGATGGACACTCGAGAAAGATCTACATCTGATACATGGAGTCTCCATATACAAACCTACTATGATAGATGGACACTCCAGACAGATCTACATCTGATACATGGAGTCTCCATATACATACCTACTATGATAGATGGACACTCCAGACATAGATCTACATCTGATACATGGAGTCTCCATATACAAACCTACAGTGATAGAGGGATACTTCAGACATAGATCTACATCTGATACATGGATTCTCCATATACATACCTACAATGATAGATGGACTCTCCAAACATAGATCTACATCTGATACATGGAGTCTCCATATACATACCTACTATAATAGATGGACACTCCAGACATAGATCTACATCTGATACATGGAGTCTCCATATA